AAAAAACCGTCAGTAATAAATGGGAAATATCCGCTGATAATTATTATAATCACATGTTTTCTTCTTTCTTTTTTTTTCCCTTCTTTTTATACATTTAACACATCTTTTTGTGGTGGGTATATTTAGGGTGCGGTTCGGGTAAAAACCGTATCGAACAGCAAAAAACTGAAAACCGGGCATAGCAAAAAAACATCACCAAATCGCACCGTAACTTAAAAAAAAAACTGAATTGAAACCGAACTGAACTTTTTTTGCACTAAAATAACCGAATCGAACAACACTGAAATATATGGTTCAGCTCGGTTCGATTCGGTTCGGTTTTATGTTTTAATTCGTTTTTTAGCATAATATTTTATTGTTTCTGTCATTTTGAGCATAATATAATTTATCAATGATTTTGTTTTTAAGGCCCTAAATTATACAATGTAATAAGTTTATCCAGCTTTAAAATCTTGGCCGACCCCACATTATTATTATTATTATTATTATTATTATTATTATTATTATTATTATTATTATTATTATTATTATTATTATTATTATTATTATTTCGAATTAATGAATCAATGAAATGTAGTCATAGTGAGGTGTTGATGTTCATGATAATAAAAAAAAAAAGATAATTAAAACCGAAGATAGAGAACAAATCCTGGACCAAATTTCATATTATCCAATATGCTAATTTGACCATTTCAACAAAATTCAATCCAACTTCCCATTAGTTTCTCCGATTTTAATTTGTTTAGTTTTCTTTATGTTGAAAGTGTCAACTTATAATATAGTGGGAATGCTACGGTCCCGTTACGAACCATTCCGTCGGAGTCTGTAACCATTAGATCAACTATCTCCGACGGTTACATGATGATCTAACGGTTACAAACTCCGACAGAATGCATCATAACGAGACCGTAACATTTCCCATAAGATAGGCAATATTTACTAAAGTAAAATAAATTTGATTGAAGGAAATAATTAATTGGCACTAATAAATTTATTAGGGATGAGCAACGGTGTGGTTCGGTGAAAAAACAGCACCGAACCACACAAAACCGAAAACTAAATTTGGCAAACAAATTAACCAAACTGCATTGCAACTTAAGAAAAAAAAATCGAACCGATTCGAATACCCATTATCATCTGTTATTAGGGATGAGCAACGGTGCAGTTCGGTGAAAAAACAGCACCGAACCACACAAAACCGAAAACTAAATTTGGCAAACAAATTAACCAAACTGCATTGCAACTTAAGAAAAAAAAATCGAACCGATTCGAATACCCATTATCATCTGTTATTAGGGATGAGCAACGGTGCGGTTCGGTGAAAAAACAGCACCGAACCACACAAAACCGAAAACTAAATTTGGCAAACAAATTAACCAAACTGCATTGCAACTTAAATCGATCTTTTTTTACACTAAATAACCGAACGGAATCGCACTGAAATGCACTGTTCGATTCGGTTTTTGGTTTTAGTTCGACTTTTCTATACATTTTATTCAATTTGGTGTGGTTCGGTGTAAAACCGCACCGAATCGAATAACTTATGAAAAACTATAACCTTACCGCAATGGAGGAAAAAACCGAACCGCACATCACCGAATTGCACGGTTCGGCTCAGTTTTGCTCGCCCCTATCGGTTACTACTCGTCCTTGTTGAAGGCGTAATCAAACAGTTCTATAGAGAATAGAGAGGAACAATGACTATGATTTGTGCCAGAAAAGGAAAATGAAATTAGACATTGCCAGGACTTTATTATTTGCCATTGTGCTGACTGTTGGTTATGTGACTGTGTTGAAGTAAATTTATGAAATCTATTTTCTGATTGCAGAGTATTTAATCAATCATTAAAATGATTTAAAGAGCTTTTACTAGATTTTTTTACCATTTGTCCATAGTTTTTTTTATTATTAATTATTAAGTATGTAACTCTCAAAATATATTTTCCGTTTTATGGGAGCAAAATGCGTTAGAATGGTAAAATTAAATTTTATGTCAACCCATTTTGTTTTCTTTAAAATAGTCCATCAATGAGAGTTTGATTTCTTATGGTCAATGTAGTGGTTGACACTTGACGACAATTTGCCAATGTAAGATGGAAGAGTCAGACTAATTAAATTATATATATATGCATGAAAATTTGCCAATGTAAGATGGAAGAGTCAGACTAATTAATTATATATATATGCATGAAAATTTGCCAATGTAAAACAGAAAGAGTCAAATTAATTAAATATATATGTTTTGTATTTACTTGATATCCAGTAGGTGTAATTTTTCACCAGTTACATTTAATTATTAAAAAGAAAATTCTTTAATTTTTTTGTTCCTTTTCTTTTTAGATCTTATTGTATATTTTTTGTCGATAATCTTTAATAATTTATCAATTTACTGAATTTGAAAAGTATTTTATTATAGAAACAACATCTGCATAATAATTTATCAAGGTTCTTAAAAGTATTAGGAAAATAATATATAAAATACTAATATGTAAACATTTATATTAGGTTATGTATATTGTTTTATCTGTTTTTTAATTTATTAAAAAAGAATATAATTTATTTTTAAAATATGTTTCATTATAACACCATCAATTTATGATATTTGATAATTTATGAGTAACATTGTCGAAAAATACTAATTAATATGCAAAATATCTCTGCTATGTAGTATTCACTTTGTTAATTATCGTGTCATCGTGCCAATTTGTAGTCAATCAATTAATTTTAATTTTTAAATAATTATTATGTTTATTGTCTTACATATGCATAAAACAAGAAATAATTAATTTATCTTTAGCAACATAATTCATAATCTTATAATATACTATCATTTGTTATAACATTTTACTGCATAAAATTGTAGAGGGCCCACCCAGCCCTCTACAATTCCATACTGGGTGGGCCCTCTACAATTTCTCAAATCAAAGTGTGTTTTAGGACTCGCCACCAAGGTTCTTTTTCCTTTCAGAAACTAAAAACAATGGTGCTTTTGTCAAATCTATAAATAGGAAGCTGGGTTTTGGGGACAGAAATTGTATTGTAGACCCTAGAGGTCTTAGTGGATGATGGCTTTTGCTTTGGCATCAGGAGGTGGAGATTTTACAAATAACGTCCAAGGAGTTCTACATTGTTGGCCATTACAAATTGGGCAATGTGGAACAAGGATGGAGAATTTTTGTGTATACGAGTGCAGATAGAAACATCAGAGTAGCTCAAAGGATGGAATTGGAAGAAGACAAACAATCTTGGGGGAATTTGTGGTTTATCATAGGAGATTGGAATGTCATTTGTTCCAATGAGGAGAAACAAGAAGGCAGAATCAGGAACAATAGCACTTTTGATGGCTTTAACAGCTCCATCTCTAACATGGACATGGAAGAGATAAATATTGAAGGGTGCCAATTCACC